GCTGAATCATCTGCTGAACTCAGACACTAACTTAAGATATTTACAATAAAGTGGAACTGATTCTCATTCTCCTTCAAGCAGAGCAGGCAGCTGGAATCAGGAGCCACCAGTTGTATCCCAGGGCAGTCAGCCCTGCTCAAGAACCAATGTGCGGTGATTTACCTAAAGGACTGAGTCATGAGAAACCCCAGATGAGCGCTGATGCTGTCAGGCTACCTGAGAAAGGCTGTGAGATGGAGGAAGCTGCAGCCAAAGGGGAACTGGCTGACAGGCCATTACGCTCACTAGAACTTCCATTTTCAAGGAGTACAACCCCAAGAGTTAATACCATCTCTGTCGGATCTGAAGCACACACTTTCAGATGGACATTTTCTAACTATTTACTGTTCATTTCCATTACAGAGTACAGCCTCAACTTTTTGTAATATTCTAAAATTTCTTGCTAAGAAAAACCCGGAAGTCTATGAAACGATCATATCCCACTGTAGGATTTCAAATGAAACCAGACACAGTCACATGCCAAGCACCACAAGAAAACATTCTTGCGCACAATTTGTGATGTGACCAGATTAGCAGTGAAATATTAATACAGACTGGGGCATCTGGCCAGGAAAAAAACCAAAAATCCCTGAACTTCTCAACAATTCCACTGTCTACCTAAAATGCTGCCACTGTATTAGAAAGAACTCTTAAGTGCCAAGCAGTAAGTCCACAAACATCAATATTTGATCACACGCACAAAAGTCCACAAAACTCTTCCATTACGACAGAAAAAACCCACCTCTTTTCCAAAATTAGAAATGCAGAATGCTAAGTGCTGCTGTTTTCCCTCCAATAGCTTGTCAGAAAAAATAAGGGAATACAGAGACAATAACCAACCACTCTCCAAGAAGTGAGAAAACCAAAGTCCCAGACCTACGTTAGGTTCACAGATACCTCTGTGACGTATTCTACAAAAACTGCTCCAAAATGAAACAAATGAAAAAAAAAAAAAAAAAAAAAAAATGTGCTCAACAGGATGGACTGATGTGACTCACCAATTTTAATCATGATTTAGATCAGTCAGCAGAAAACCTTGATTTAATCTATTTTGACCTTATTTTGTATCCAGGCGTTAGTCAAAAGCTCTGTCCTCCCTGACTGTTAAAACATCTCAATTTGCAATCACCTTTGTGATCGTGTTAACTTTACTACTGCTTCCTACAGGGAAGGCTAAAATAATATACATAAATGTGTAATAAAATAATAGCATTGCTTAATAAAAATGCAAAGATTAAGAACATAAAAAAGGTTATTAGGAATGGTTATTGGATCATGTATTTCTTAAGCATTATGTCCTGGAGTTGTTTCAAGCTGGATATGGAAACTAAAATTCAATTACGTTCACAAAGTTTAATACTCTTCAACTGAAAGAAGCATAACGTTCAGAAAAAAGGGAAATTTTACCACATTACCAATTTAAAGATGACTTATTAAAGCACAGCCACACAATGCCAATAAACTGATCTTCTAAACTTTCAGAAATCCAAACAACATTAAAATGCACTCAAAGAGACCAGGCTGAGTCCACTGACACCAGAACAGGAGCAGTCCTGCTCCTCTCCAAGAGACGCGTGCTCCTCCTTCTTCCCACAGTTCCCTGACCCCTTAGGATGCTAACTTGCATTTTTAACTCCACAGAAAAAGGAAAAACTTAAAGTTCTTATTCCAGCAGGTCATAAAGCTGAATAATCTCACCGAGGAGCACGAAACACTAGGAGCTGGCATGAAGGTGGTCAAGCCCCTGCTCAAGAGTTGGGAGAAACAGGACTGTGTTTTTCAGCAAGTCAACAGTCGGAGCCGCACCAGACGAGGACACTGCACGAGGAGGAGCTGAGGCAATCTCACAGCTTGACATTTTTGGAAGGAGGGATACGCCACCCTCCCGCGGAGCCCCACGCCATCCCTCATATCAGCACTAGTCTCCGGTGGATCTTGCCACCAGCTGATACAACTGGTTATTCTGCGGGAAGCTTTTTGCTTCTTCCTAAGCCAGCAAGCTGAAGTAAGCCCCACACGTTCAGGGAGCATCGAGGCTAAAGCAGCAGAAGGAGCAGGATCTCCCCTTTCAGGCAGCCAGGAGCTGTTAGAGCACCTCAGCCCTCGTCCATCTCCCCTTAACTCAGAATTAAAATCAGCTTGAAATTTAAATCAAGCTGTGCCAATCAAAATCAGGGATACTATGTCCCTTCCTCTCCCACCCCACCTCTGACCACCCTCTTGCCCATGCAGCAGCCCTAGTACTGCTCTTATTCTTCAGTGAGTTAGGAAAAAAAATAAATTAAGCCACCCGAAAAAAACACCTCAGAATTTTCCCATTAGTTTTGCCTGTTTAGTATCCTGGCAAGAGCCTATTGCAGCCTGACTGGTACATCCTATCATGGAACAAAATAAAGTAACGGCTGGAACTCGGCACTTCTGGAAATTACACTAGGTATTTAACTGCCTATCTTTTCAACACAAAAGCCTGACCCCCAGCTCTTCAAGTTTTTGGAATGAAGAGATCTCATTCTCACTTACATTTTATTCAAACATTATAATGGCTGAATAAACAAAAAAAACCCCATTCTCTTTCAACTAGTAATCAAGCTTTGCAGTCAAAAATATTTTCTTCTCAATAAGCATTAAAATACTTGTATTTGGAAAAAATATGTATCAGCATTCATTCCACCACAAAGACTAAATAAGCAGCTTAATGCATGATATGGTAATATTCACAAAGCTTGAGCTCATCTTCAGTTAGAGATGTTTTCTTTCCGATTTATGACTAGAACAATCTTCTAAGGAGTTGGAATATTAAGACTCAAAGAAACCATGTGAGCATGCTTCAAAGTAAAATGAAACCCTAACACAGGTTATTAATCTCAAATCTAAAACCAGTTTAATATATATTCAAAATCTTTTTTTTTTTGTCTGTCCTATGTTCAAACTGGTAAGCTTCTACAAAAGTGAAACAGAATTTTTTGGTAATTTAGTTTCACTTTCTGGACTCATTTACTTAGTAACCAGGCTCAGAGCTCTTGTCTGAAGAGCCTTCCTGTCAAATTCTAAAAGTTTCATATTTATATTGTTTCTTTTTTGAGGTTTATATCTCTAGCCTTAAAGCCTGGCTGATTCTCTAGAACACAACATTTTTGGCTCTCTCTGACAGAAAGATGAGTTCCTGCGCATTCCTTCAGAATAGCCAGCCCTGGGGAGGGATGGGGAAGAGGGCAAGGCTGCTCTTGGGCTTCTAAATTCTCCACCCACATTTCCAGAGACAGGCTGGTCACAGGCCCCTCGTTTATGGTGCCAAGCAAGTCCTCGGGCTGCCTGAATTACCAGTCTTCCCTCTCTTTCTCTCAAGGGAGCATTACGCAGTGCATCACCTTCCTAACACCCCCCTCCTCCAGCACACCGCCACGGAGCAGCAGTGGCCTTCAGCTCCCCAAAGCAAATGGTTGACACCAGAGCTTTGATGGCAACGCTGTGCTAAGGAGACTTCCCATCCCATCCCCTACGTATTGTCTAAATTGCGCTAGGAACCATATTCAGGACTTTGGTCCTTGCTTAAATCGCTAAGGATTTTTTTTTTAAAATTCCGATTGTTTCCCCATCCAGAAGGCAGTGCAGCCATGCAAACAGTTGTCTGCACAATTCCACGGCTGTGAACGGATGTCAGCCAAGCCTACACCACTGCTACCAGCCCTGAGCTATTGAACTCAACCCACAGGTGGATCAAAGCTTCCACAGCCCCTTTATGCTGCTCCTGCCCCTTAACCTGAGCTAAAGAAGCCAAAATAGGACAAAGAAGTCATATTAGCTTTTCTTCAAAAAATGCTGAGGGGAATAAACCCCACCCTCTTCTTTTCTTGGTAAAGTATCAAGACCAACATGTAATAAAAGTCTTACCCATTGGAACAACCTCCATAAAGTGAAAAACTAAACCCGCCTGACCTCCATAACCCACTGACTTTTTATTGCTCTCTGCAGCACGAATCCCCTACAACTCTCAATGCTGTCACTGCTGTAACATCAATATAAGTACGTGACAACCCAGAATAGGAAGTAATTCAGCGTACTGCCTGTGGCTCTTTAGCAATATGGTGAACTTCAGCTCCCACCAGAAGAGAGCTAGCACGAATATTTCACAATAATGCTGTGTTTAATTAACAAAACATACAAGCAACGGGTGAAACTTGAGACAAAGATCCTGACTACTGCAATGCCTAGATCAGGACCGGCCCCGATATGTCTCTCCAACTTTACAGATGACAGGAGTTCAATAGCCACATTTTTTTTGGCCAAGAAATTACCCAGAGATTAGACCTGTGATCCTCTGCCCCTCAAGATACAGAAAACCACAGACAGGCAGACTTCTTAGATTAGATGAGTACCATTTCATACCCACATCTGCTTCATTAGAGTTTTAATTTGGGAGGGAAAGATAAAATTCACACATATTCTGAAATTTCAAGGGTAGAAATTTGATCTGGAAAATATTCTAATCCTGATACCTCCAACTCCCCCCCAGTCCAGCTGGAAGAAACGTCTGTCCCACAGAAGAGAATTTTATTTTTTTTAATAGCATACCTTTCAATTAAGTGTTTCCAATTCATTTGTCAACACTGTTCAGGCAGCAAATTACTTTAAGATTGGAATCTTAGGATGATTTGAAGAAAACTTAATATCTAATCATCTGTCCTAACTTGCCTCCTAAGAAGCAGAATTACTGCTCATCCAGATCCTACCGGGATGGACAAATCCACACCTCAATAATCAGACACATCTCTCTGCCTCCCACAGAAGAAAAGAGGTCAGTAAGCCTTCTCCCATTTCCTGCAACTCCCCTGAAGAGTCCTTCTCGCCTTTTTCAGGAGAAAGGTATCCCCCTCCCAGGAGACGGGAAGGGCAGCCCTTCTATCTAGAAAGGCGATTCCCCTTTGTCCTAACGACTACGAAAAGATATTTAAAGAAAATAAATATACGTTCTAGCCCCGAGCAATGGTGCTCCCCGATCAAAGCCCGGCAGAAGCGATTCTTTCAGGTCGGGACAGAGACAAGACAGCAGGAGCTGGCAAGAAGCGCATCCCTCTCCACCCGCAGGGATTCTACCCCCACGCCACAGCAGGTAAGGTTACCCCACTTT